GTTTATGCAGTAGAAAGGTTTCAGGAGCACTGCTGCCAGGGCTAGATACTCAACGGTACTGATAAATGGAGACTTTCTGTTCCAGAAAGACACTGAAACATCAAAAGAGAGCAAAGTTTTATGAGCGGTGAAGATTTCTTTGTTCAATAACTTTCAAGCTGTCTGAAAACTAAGCCCCTGTAGATGGACGAATTGGTCTGCTGCACAGTTACTCCGACCCCTTGATCCCTGTCAAGACGTAACAGGTGAATGGTGGGAACCAGATGGTGGGGTCAGCATCAAGCGACACTCCATACTAGAACGCAATCATTAGTTGTAGACAAAGAAGTATGGCAACAGCTTGCATCAGGATTTTTTTTCTCTGGTCAGTCTAATCAGACAGACAGAGAGGAAAGTGGACGCTGGCTTCAGATGTAGCCACTGGCGCAGTACAATACGTTCCCTTTGGTGTCGTCTGAAAGGAGACATATTGCACTCTTTTTGTCCAGTCTAATATAGGTCCCTCTGCTCTTTGAAAGACAATAACGAAGAGCATAAAACAAATTACACCATAATTCAGTCTTTGTATCATGTGTTTGATCCTGGCACTGACTCTGTGAAGAAGCTACTGGCTGTCTAAGTAGAGGGGGTGGAGTAGGGGGTTTGGCTTTGTGCGGTGGTGGAGAGCTGAACAGTGGCTGCTGTAGAGCACAGTGCAGAGACCATATATGTTTGACTTTTTAAGTTTGTTCATGCTAAAAGGCCAGAGCCAATCACAGAGTCATTAACATGTGCCGGTCAAGCAACCATTACACAGCAATGTTTAATGAAGCAACTTTTCAATTCCTTGTACTTTTGTTTTACATCGTAGCCCTGCTAAGCTGAGGCTAATTTCTGCTAGCATTGTGATCTGTATTTCTTACAATAGCATGAAGCTAATGGTGGTGAATTTTAACATTTTATGGCAGCTCTCAGGTTAAATTATAGACATTTGAAACTCATAATAAGAGACATATTCTTTAAATTCTTTAAATCCTTCATGAAAGATTTAAACCAGATAATTATAAAGGAGGAGACTGGTCACTGGTTGAAGTATGAATAGGAAAGCATGTAACGCTCAACATGCCCTCTGTTTGTGGAGAAAGACCCACCCTTCAATAAAAAGAGCTAATCAGCTTGCTGTTTAAGCTGTGAGCCGGAAAGCCCAGCTTGTTGTGGAGTAGTGCAGTAGCCAGAAAAACCCCAAAAAACATGTGTTTTCTGTGTTACTGAGCCAAATGCTACGCACTATTTATGCTGTGTTTATCAGTTTTTACCAGCGATTTCAAATATGTTTTTAAAACGGTAATTTGACCTTGAGTTTGAGTATTTTTGTCTCTCTCCATTCAAAGAGACAGGAATCTGGTCTTGTTTGGCTGGAAATAACTGTCCAGTGGCATTGCAAAGATGGCCACCAAGTGAACAGATTTTCCTAGAAGGATTTTGTTTAACTTTAAATTCAGTCTCGGACTGTTACCGGAGCCTGTTAGTTTAGCTAAATGCACAATTTACTCTTGTCAGGAAAGAATATGGTCCAGTTTGCCCCCGAGAGTCTGTTGAATCGGTCACTAATACAGTTTAATGTTAGCAATATGTGACATCACAGTTTAACACAGTCCTGTCGCTCAGAGACGTCTGTGTTAAAGCAGCAGCTGCGGTGGTGAAAGTCTGAAGGCTGGCTTTATGGGCAGAGTTCTCAGAGTTTTTCAAATTTTGAAAAAGGGTCATTATTTAGACATAATCGTTATTTTGAGATACTATGTTAACATTTCGAGAAAATACACAATTATGTTGAGATACTAAATCATTATTTAGAGATATTATGTCATTACTTAAAAATAGTCAGTCATTATGTTAAGATCCTAAGTAAAAATTTTGACATACTGCTGCCAGGGTCCAAGGGTAAAAAAGAACATAAGTCATTATTTTAATACAATATCTCAACATTTTGAGAAAATAAGTCATCATTTTGAGATATTAAGTCAAAATATTTTAAAAAATGAGTAATTATTTTGACATCGGAAGTCATTACTTCAAGATACTGTGTTAACATTTGGTGAAAATAAATCAGTATTTTGAGATAGTAAGTCGTTATTTCAACATATTAAGTCATTATTTTAAGATACTAAGTCAAAATGTTGACATCGCAGAAGCAAAGAAGAATATCATAATGTTTGAGATACTAAGCCCCGTTTTACACCTGGTCACTTCATGTGACTAGTATCTGGATTGTATCCTGATATTAGGATTTTGGCCAAATGCATTTACACCAGCATTTTTATGTGACATGGCTTTATATAGATATAATCCTGATCCTCAAGATGCATGAAGTGAGAAGGTGTAAACGGGGTCTTAGTAAAAGTATATAAAATAAAGAATTACTCTGATAAGGAATTTATTATTTTGACATATTAAGTCAGAATTTTGACTCTTTTATTGCTATATTTTATTGCTATAGCAAACATATCTGGACTCATGGGTCCATATGTCCAGAATCTGAGCCCAGTACTAATTGCGGGTCAGCTCCACTGCCCATAAGGCTAAATTCAAGATGTGGTCCTTGACCAGCACGCTTACTCTATGAAGTTTGATCCATATGACCTGTAGGGCAGCCAGCTGTCCGCTTTGAAAAGGGGATTTTTCCCCATGTCATGTCACATAGTGCATACACTCAAACTCCCAACACTCTTTCATATGAATAAGGCTTTCCACACTGCTTTCCTTTGATTCTTTTTTCTGTTCCCCTCCCTGCTTTAAATCAAAAGGCTAAGCTGGTCACCTGTGGCTTTATAGTCAAGGGCTTTTTGTCGGTTTCTTAATTAACAAGAACCGAGCAAGGACAGACCTACCTGCAGGAGAACACGGCCCTGGCCTCCAGAGTCCACACACACAGCCTAATCCCTCATACCTACCATGATTTTCTCACTCTTTTACCTCAGGGACCACTTTTCAGTGGCTTTTTTTACCTTCATGTCTTTTTTTCATGTCAGAAAGAAGCTAATTAAGCTATGGCTGCCACTAAAATAAAAGGTGACGGTCAACAGCCTATTTAATCCTCCATTAGCTCAAATAAAGCTCATGTAAAGGGGAATTAAAAAATCCACATGATTACTTGTTAAGTAAATTCAAAGTCATTCAGAGCAGTTTCATGTCAAATGACATGACTTATGATCTCAAAAAATGACATACTTTCTTGAATTTATGACTCAAAATAATGACTTAATTTCTCAGTATAGTATTTCAAAATAGTGCCCCACTATTTTTCGACATTTTGACTTAGTATCTCAAAATAATGACTTATTATGTTGAAATAATGACTCAGTTTCTATAATTCTGACTTACTATCTCAAAAAGTGACTTATTTTCTTGAAACTATGACATAGTGTCTTAAATAATGACTTCATTTCTCAAAATGTCAATACTGTATCTTGAAATAATGACTCACTATTATGTAATAATGACAAATTTTCTTGACATTTTGACTTAGTGTCTTAAAAAAACTTTTCTCAAAATGTTGCCACAGTTTCTCAAATAACGACTTACTGTGTCAAAATAATGGCTTATTTTCCTCAAAATTCTGATTTATTATCTCAAAAAATTACATTTTCTAGAAATTATATATTTTGATTTAGTGACTCTAAATTATGGCTTAATTTCTCAAAAAGTCAATATCATATCTTGAATTTATGACTCACCATGAAATAATAACGACGTAGTTTCTCAAAACCTGACTTTGTGTTTTAAAAAAAACTTTGCTGCAAAAAAATGTTGCTACAGTTTTTCAAATGATGACTTACTGTGTCAAAATAATGACTTATGTTCTCAGAATTCTGACTTCTTATCTCAAAAAATGACATTTCTTTGAAATTATGACATAGTGTCTCTAGATAATGACTTAACTTCTCAAAATAGCAATTTTGTATCTGGAAATAATGACTCACTATGATGTAATAATGGCCTATTTTTGACAGATTTGACTTAGTATCTCAAAATAATGACTTACTATGTCTTGCGTTCTCAAAATTAGACTTATCTGGAAAAGTGACGTTTTCTAGAAATTTTGAAACATTATCTCGAAATTATAACTTACTATGTCGAAATAATGTCTTTTGACATTTTGACTTAGCAACTTGAAATAATGACTTAACATGTCAAAATAACGACAATGACAAATTTCATGAGCGTATGTCACAACAAGCCATCATTTTGAGAAACAAACTCAGAATTTAGAGGAAAATAAGTCTTTATTTCAACATACTAAGTCAAAATTTGGAGAGAATCACTTTTATCCATAGTTTCCCATTATCCCGAGATACCAAATCAATTTTCTGAGAAAGAAGTCATTATTTCGAGATACTATGTCAGAATTGTGTCATTCTGCTGCCAGAAACAGTGAAGGAGAACAGGTAGGTGTGTTTTTCTCCTCTACCTGGCGGGAATGCGCTTCCATATATATTCATGTATGCATGGCTGGGTGTCTTGAGCGGCATCCTCTCCGTCTCTCTGCTCGGGAGCGCGAAAGCGAGGCGTGCCAGACGGAATGCTCTGAAAGGGGTGTGACGCAGGTGTGACAGTGGTCAGACAGCGGCCAGAAATGGGGGGAACATTGATCTAAAGCGTTTTTGTCCCTTCTCAGAAACAGGGATCACTCGGGTTCAAGCCTATCACACCTTGTACTATTTAACACCGCAGCTCGTTCCGCGCAGGCTGTTTTCTAAACAGGCTCGACTCTGCGCAAAAATCCGAGAAAAAAAGTAGGCTAATGCGCTACAAGCCACTAAGCCCTTTAGTAAAGGTATGCATATTACGAAACAGCGCTTGTTACCTCAGTGCGAGTGGACGCGGTTGTGGAAAATGTTGGGCTGCGTCCAAAAAAACAACCACCACACTAAAAGCGCGCACCACCGTCAGCGCGTTCATGAGTGCACTATGTATGGTGCGGTATAGTGTGCGGTTCTGCTGTTCTCCAGGCTCGCCGTTACCTGTCAGGTGTTGGGCTCGTACGAGCCACACGACCGCTAGCAGCCCGAGTCCGCCGCAGCAGCAGAGCCGCTGCAAAGTGCGCCGTCTGCGGGTGCGTAACGCCGCCTTCATGCCGTCGCCGTTCGCCCGTCAGCAGAGCGCAGGAACATCGCTGCCACCGCCAGCTCCGGCGTCGCCCCGCTGCTGCCCGTCCCCGAGGCTTCTCAGACGGACTAAAGTTTGGAGTTAAGCTGCTGGGTGGCTGCTTCTGGGGGGGGGGTGGTGGTGGTGGTGGTGGTGGTGGGGGGGGGGGGCGGGGGGGCTGCGCTTTCTACATCCCTCCGTCGAAACGTGTGGAAGTGTCTCGACGCATCGTGGAGCCGCGAGCCGCTGCCGAGCGCTTTCAGACGAGTTGCAGAATTTACTCACATGCCTGCGGGTCAGGCCGGGGGTCGCTGCTTGGAAACCTCTCTCTCTCTCTCTCTCTCTCTCTCTCTCTCTCTCTCTCTCTCTCTCTCTCTCTCTCTCTCTCTCTCTCTCTCTCTCTCTCATACACATGCACAAAACTCACCACTCCCACTCACGGCTGGGGTCGTGCCCAGTGGTCGTGGTCTAACGCGGCGAGCAACGAATGGGAAACGCCACTAGGGGGCGCCAGGCCTTCCCACGCCACTCCGCACGCCCCAGACTCATAGGAAATCTGGTACATGGGAATATGTAGATTTCAAATATACACTGAATGAAGGTTCTGTACATTTTTGGTTCATCAAGGTACAAACACTGTAAATGTTCCCGCAAAGGTACAACAGTGGTTTAAGGTCTGACTGCGAACCTTAAATAAGATTTTCCAGGTGAGAAGTACAGATTTTCATAACCTAATGTTTTAAAAACAGAACTGTAAAATTAAAGCCTGGAGTCGAGACGGGGTGTGTGGAGTCAGTACAGCTTAGAAAATATCATTTCAGTGGATTACAGTACAGTTATGTTCCCTGACTAAAGGTACTGAGATGTACCCTTGAGGGTCCCACCCCAGTGACGGGAGGGGTACTGCCCCAGTGACAGTTTAGTACCTTGTTTTCTGAGAGTGTATTATTATTATTACTATTAGTTGTATTATATTACATGTATTATCATATATGGATTTCCCTTATATATCCAGTCAGGGAACATAACCGTACCACAATCCATTAAAATGATATTTTCTAAGCTGTACTGACTCCACACACCCCGTCTCGTCTCCAGACTTTTTATTTTATTGTTCTGTTTTAAAACATTAGGTTATAAAAAGGTACAAATCTGTACTTTTCACCTAGAAAAACTTATTTAAGGTATACAACTGGACCTTAAAACCACTGTTGTGCCTTTGAGGTACATTTACATTGTTTGTATCTTGATGAACCAAAAATGGACCTGCACAGAATCTTTATTTCTAACAGTGAACAAACATGTGTAATAAACTCTCTGCTGTCAGAACAAAACCTCACAAAATGGTAACTTTACAGGAGAAGGAAAAAGAAGAATTTTGAGCCATTTCTTTTGGTTCACTCATTATGAAATGTACACAATGTAAAGGGCAACAGGCATTTTCAAATCATGTAAAAAACTGAAAAATGGCAGCGATATGTTCAGCGATACATGATAGAAAACATTATTCACATATGGATGGCATATATTACTCATATATTCTGGATTTATGTTATGTAACATAAGGCTGTATGCATGTCTTTAAAAAAAATCTAAAACATGCACATTATAAGCTCCCCCATAAAATCACTCAAATATGAAAGAAATGAAAATATTGCTCTCTGACACGTTTCAATAATTTAATATTCAAAAGCAAAGGTAATAGTAGCAGTTGTAACTGTACTGGGATGTATTCAGTCATGTATCAGATATACATGTTTAATCCATATATAATGCATATCCATTATTTGGTACTTACATATATGCACACAACATATACTACATGTATGTACTTATCACTGTTGTAGGAACAAAACCTCGTATCTCCAAAATGGTAACTTTACAGAAGAAGGAAAAAACATACTCTACTTTTAATGTAAGTCAATGGAACCAGACTTTTTCCCATGTCATTTTTGGCTGTTTCTTTTGGTCCATTCAGCATGAAATGTACACACAATGTAAAGGGCAACAGGCTTTTTAAATTCATGTCAAAAACTGAAAAATGATTAAAACAGAGATACGAGGTTTTGTCCTGACAGCAGTGAAATATTTTTTAATATAAGCCACAAACTTTATGATATATGTCCATATATCAGATTTAAGTACGGGGAAGCTCTTCTCTGCCATCTCCTCGTAGGCTCCAGATCACTAATTTCAGGTTGAGTCCACCTTAAAATTGAAGCAAAGGGCTCCAGACTGTCTCCCACCAGCAGGCCCGTACAATTAGCCTGGCTGCGGCTCTGTGCTACTCTATGTTGTCTTCAGCCTGAGCACAAGCAAACAAGCAAAAATGGCTTTTCATGAAGAGAGTCCCTCATTCCATCTCTCTCTCTCTCTCTCTCTCTCTCCCTCTCTCTCTGTCTCTCTCTCTCTCTCTCTCTCTTCACTTTGTCTCTCTCCTTCTCTCTCTCCCTCTCTTTCTCTTTCGTAGTTTCCCTCTTTCTCTCTCTCTTGCTCAATTTTGGTTTCTTTCTGTTTCTGCCCCTCTGTCTGTCTGTCTCTCTCTCTCTCTGTCTCTCTCTCTCTCTGTCTCTCTCTCACTTTGTCTCTCTCTCCTTCTCTCTCTCCCTCTCTTTCTTGTTCCGTTTCCCTGTCTCTGGCTCTTGTTCACTTTTTGTTTCTCTCTTTCTGCCTCTCTCTCTCTCACTTTGTCTCTCTCTCCTTCTTTCTCTCTTTTTGTTTCCCCTTTACTCTCTGTTGCTCACTTTTTGTTTTTCTCTCTCTCTCTGCCCCTCTCTCACTTTGTCTCTCTCCCTCTCACTTTGTCTCTCTCTCCTTCTATCTCTCCCTCTTTCTTTTTTTGTTTCCCTTTGTCTCTCTCTCTTGCTCAATTTCTCTCTCTTTCTGCCTCTCTCTCCAACTCTGTGTGTGTGTCTCTCTCTCCTTCTCTTTCTGCCCCCATGGACATTTACATGTAATATAGCTAAAGCAATTAGACGATGACAGGCAATAAAACACTAATAATCATAATAATGAAACAAGCAGAACAACAAAATCCCAGAACACAACAACAATAACTTTTATTGATCATGTTTTGATGTGGGGCTCTCTGTTAATAATAGAGTACACACACACACACACACACACACATACACACACACACACACACACACACACACACACACACACATACACTCACACACACACACACACACACACATACACACACAAATAACAATGCATACAAACCAACAACTAATGACATCAAATATCTCTATCTATCTATCTATCTATCTATCTATCTATCTATCTATCTATCTATCTATCCATCCATCCATCCATCCATCCATCCATCCATCCATCCATCCATCTATCTATCTATCTCCAGCTTGTATTATCTCCATAGCAAAGCACTGTCATCAGAATGTGATGCTCTGGAACAGCTGCACATGAGTCTAAGGTCATTGTGCCCAACGCTAAGTGAGGGCTAGAGGGATATAAACACCCCCCCAGCATTGGGCTGTGGAGCAGAGGAACTGTGTTCTCTGGAGTGACGGAGCTCCATCCAGTACCTTTGGGATGAGTTGGAGTGATCCAGAACTAATCATCCAACATCAGTACCTGGCCTCACTTAAGCCTTTGTGGCTGAATGCAGTCAAATCCTCACAGCAATGTTCCAACGTCTAGTGTAAAGCCTTCCCAGAAGAGTAGAGGCTGTTACTGCAGCAAAGGGGGGGGACTTTCTATTAACACCCTTGACTTCTGAAGAAACGTTGGACGAGCAGGTCTACAGATGTTTGGACGCACAGTGTAGATGGACTCGGGTGAGTTTGTAAACCTCTCTCTCTCTCTCTCTCTCTCTGTCTCTCTCTGCCCTCTGTTTACAGTTCAGGGCTTGACTCAAACCCCTCGTAAGCCGCAGGAGCCACGCTTCTCCCGCAAGCCAAATAAAGACATAAGCCAGAGCATTATTGTCATCAGCCGTCCACAGGTGTCATATCCAGAACGATAAAGAGCTGCTCGGGGCGCGCACTGTTTAGCAAAGCTCTCACTGTGAGATAATCCAGCCGGCATGTTTGCGCACTGATGATCCGCTCGGTTATGGATGGCTCTGCTGAGGGATGAGATGCTCGGAAAATGAGCCTTCGCTGGATGCACATGAAGATCAGACAGAAGGACAATATACAGACATAGGCCCATATACTGTAGATAACCCGTTATTCTCCGTGTCATACGTGTGCATGTGGGTGTAGCGGACCCTCGCTTGTGAATTATGGGTCTCCTTCCGTGTAAATCTGAAAGGGAAAACACATTTTGGAGATGTGTATTCATTCATTCTGGGCATGTATGTCTGTTTATGCCCTGTTTTCCGTCACCAATCTGGTGTGTGTGTGTATCAGGACTGTCGCTATGAGGGGGCCTGGGGGGCTTAGGCCCTCTCACTTGGAAGCCAGTCCAAAAAAGTTCCCCGATGCCAATGAACGTGTTACATAATGTAATCCGTCTTGCACTTTTATAATACAAGTATGAACCCAAAGATGATGACTAATTGCCTCCTCATGTCTCCTTAAATAAATAAAAGAGACTTAAGCTCTCCTTTGGTCATCATCATTTTTCTGTGGATGCTGTTACCATGGCAGCGTTTACACAGCTGCATGCCACCACTGCTCATGCACTGTCGTTGTGCACAAATTCTGCAAAAAGGCACAAAACAACATTTTTTCACAACAGCAACATGTAAACACAATATTAGCCTCCTTGACTGTTTCTGCAGATTGTGGGAGCTGTGATAAGTAGGGATGTAACAATATGCAATTTTCGTGATATGATATGTAGTGTTGTTTTTGCATCTCCGTAGAGAAAAAATGCTAACATAACCTCAGCGTTTATTTTTGTATTTTTTGTGATTCCACAAACGTTTTTGCTCACCAATTTAAAGTAAATAAAAAGAACATAAACAAAGGGGTGCTATTTATATAAAAGGAAACAGAAAAATCTAAACTATAAGGCTACATCTAAATATTAAATAAACTGAGCTGTACAAGTTCGTTTACATTCCGATCTGTGTTGCTATATAAAGTGTGGCTCTTACCTTCAAACTGAAACACTCCATGCAAACTCTGGAATCCACAAGTGAGTAGAGGTGCACTATACAACAGAACAGAGGTGCAAATTGTTAGCTATGG